GCGATGTGCTCTACACAAATTGAAAATTTGAAAAAAAAAAATTATTTGTTTCTTTGAGAAGCTTCAGCCATCAGTTCCGATCAGTGATGAAATAAACTTTTTCCTTTCTTAATGTACTGTCATTTGAAACATCTTTTTCCGTTTCATTTGCTGAACGACCGATACTTACTACTTGCTCTCCTTTCTTCCTACGCTTTCTAGAAAGTTCAGTGATAGTTTGCTTTGTTCCCAGAAGTGCATAATAGCTTATGGAAATTGAGTAATTAACCTCTGCTTTCAGATTTCACATGGAATTCCATCAAGCCTAGATGTTTTGGCTGTTATATGAATTTGCGAGTTGCTTGCAAATTTTTTTTCACCGATTATTGCATGTTATCTTTAATTACTAGGTCTTCAATTGGACTGAAGAGAAATTGAAAGTGTCCAGCTATCAGTTCAGAATGAAAATGAAAGTAAGTTTGATTATATGCGTTGAGTGGATGTTTTGTACCTTACCTGTCGTGAAATGGGGTCTGATTTGAGTAATTTATAGAGCCAAATAGGGAGTACTTTGTGAAGTAGCAATGTTTAACAGTAATCTTAATTTTATTGAGATAAAATTATCCTAATCGAAATTATTATTAGAAAAATTGAGGAAGTACATCTGAGGGAGAGGAGATTCCTCTTTATACAGACAAATTTTAAGAGAAATTCTTCTATTCTTTGCTGCACTAAATGACTTCCCTATTAGCTAGTGATTGCTTAAGTTTTCTTTTAATGATAAAGCAGAAAAAAATTAATGGTCAGTTCATTTGAATGTTTCTGATGAAAAATTTTTGTATAAATCCAACAAACAACCGTTTCGTCACCATTTATAGTTTGCTTTAATTCCATTTTGTTTTAAGAATGATAGCAAAAAGCTTGATTCAAAAAGAATTAGTTTTCATCAAGTGAAAGTAACTTTTTGCACTGAAGAATAATAAGTTTCCGAGTCATTATTTGATGGGGATTGATTTAAATTAATTAATTAATCAATGATAACGATTCATGACATTTGTTAACTTTTCATTGACTATTCTTTGCTAAATTATACTATCAGTTGTTGCTCATAATTTACCAATTCTCACCTTTTTTTTCTTTTAAATGAAAAAAAATTTAATTTTTGACAAGCAGAATTTTTTTTTAATTCTTTTTTAGCAAGGCAACGAAATATGATCAAAGTAAAAAATCAGATGGAGATATAAACAAAATTCAATCGCCGATGGAGCAAATCCTCTATTAATAGTGCATTCCGGAAAATATTTAATAAATTAGACCCTCAAGTTGTTATTATCAAAAATTCTATTATTATGCCACTGCTTGAATTACTATTATTTTTTTTTTTTTTTTTGCAACATCGAAAACGTAAAAGAAAATTATTTCAGTAAATTGTGAGGTTTTGTATAAAAATGATTTCATACATATATAAAATTATGAAAAGAATGAAAAGCAGAAAAAGTAACAATAATAAATGAAATAGAAAGTAGGCAAACGGAATTTATTTAAAATAGAATTTGAAGAAAAAAATAATAATTTTTAACTTTGCATAAAATAATTTTATTTATTCTATTTATAGCAATGCTTCAATTATTCATTCTCTGATGTTATACGTACAAAATTCACATACCTTTCATATTTTTGACTAACTGTCAATGAAAAGAAGCTACGAATGAATTATAACACTAGATGTTGTTTCTATATGAAAAGAATTTTTGATCAGCAATACGATTTGTGCTCGGAAATTAAATGCCAATAAGATATTGAAATTTTAAATTCAAAAAATTTTAGTACCAAAACGTATAAGTTAATTTCAAAGGAGAAGTAAAGTAGAGAAGAACAATGAGTTAAATCAACAAAGCAGAGCGAGAGTTAAATGAAATTCAATAATATAAATTCTCTTATCATTATGTTATCATATCATAAAGTTGAAATGATCAACGAATAGTTTAAAAAAAGATGTCCGCATTATACCAGTTAAAAAATACCGCTACTCCATCAATCGTTTTATCGCCGATTCGTGCAATCTTTCAGAGAAATTCAACAAACCATTATCCATTGCTTACAGTCGTTCTTTCCGAATGAATAATAATAGAGAATTTTCCGGATATTAACCTGTAGAATTTTTGCTGTTAATTGAGAAAAATTTATAAGAAAGCACCGACAAACTCAAATTCCACGCAAAATCGATACCAAACGACAAAATTAGCGAAGGACTTACTAATTAATACCCAATTATCGTTGCTAACAACCAATTTAAATGCTCAGCTTACGATTTGAAATGCATAACTATTCTCTTAAATATTCGTGGAAAGTCTGAACTGACTAATTTGAAATTAAAGATGTTGCCAGTTTCTTTCAGATAGCAACAAAGATAGAAGGCTGTTTTTGCTTCTTTTGTTCTTCCCTTAATATCTCAAATGCAGGTAATTAAACCTTCAATTTATGAAATGTTTGTTGCAACAACGAATCCAGGAATTTCAAAAATAATTTTAATAACGATACCAGTATTATCACCCAAAACTTAAATAAAGGAAAAATGAAGTATTCTCAACTTTTATATCGATATTTTTGTTTTTAATATTTATGTTTAACTAACGTTTTAATTATGGATATAAGCCAATTATTTTTTTTTTTCCTTTTTTGTTCTTTGCTGCAGTAGTTAAAGCAAAATTACATTTGAATGTGATTTTCTCTGTGTTGTTTTACTTTCAATTTAAGTTTATGCTATTGGAGCTAAGCAATAAACTTTGATGCGACAATTAACATTAACTGACACTTTTATTCTACAACTGCAAAGATATCATTTGTACAATTTAATTTGTTTGTTTAATATCATTTTTGGTTCAGCAATTTCAGCACAATAATTTCATGTAATATCACAGAATCTCGAGCTGATATAATTGATGAGAAACTTTGACTATGAGTAAACCAACTAAAAATCGGTTTAATCCTAATAATATGAATATTGGAAATATACTAAGTAGTTTGATCATAAAAGCAAAAAAGAGAGTTTTTTGTTTATTACTCTTTAGTTAATCATTTTCAGCATCAAATAATGCAAAAGTTATTAAAATAGCACAACAAATTAATAAAATAGTAAGGAATAATTGGAAGTAATTTCTTTTAAAGATATAAAAATTCTATATATCTAATATTCATACTCATATTCAGTAACTCTGCGTAACTTAGATGGCAAACAAAAACGAAAGGAAAAACAAAAGCGATTTCAAACAATGAGTTTAATTCTATAAGATAGAAGTGTACATGCTAATAACCAACAATTATTCATTCTAATTTGTGCCATGAATAATACCAAACACTTTTAAACTTCAATGAATCCTAATGCATTGATGGAATACTCTAAGAATGACCATATTATTCTTATAGAGAGACTACTTCTAGGAATACTTCTCTATACGTAATATTATTCCTACCAATAATCTATGTATGTCTTTGCTAAAGTATCAAATAAAACTCGCAGGTGGTTTTCTGATGGGCTTATCACAGTCTAATGCAGATTCTTTCTTCATCTTTTCAATAACTTCATCTTGAAATAAATCATTCAAATATTCATCGTAATCAGTTAGACTTCTTTTCACTGTCGTTTCAACCTTTCTTGAGTTAAGCTATATCGTTTTGCTGACACGGGACAACATCTTTATTTTTCTAAGACCAACTTACGACTTTTTCATCTTTAGTTATAGTATAAACTTTTGAAAAGCATTCAGTACTTCTCTCTGTCTTGTCATCAATTCTTCGATTGCAATAATCTCTACTTTACATTTTTCTTTCTATTTGTTCTCTGAATAATCATGATTCTCTTCATTCTCCTAATCTTTCTTTCAAACTTCGTTATTTTACTGACTGCCATTTTCATCCTGATCCATTTCCAGATATGTCTTCTCTAACCTTATTCCTTCATCATAATCAATTCTGTAATATATGTTTGAATATTCTTTATTGTTCCGATGATGTTCTAATTCCTAATGTTACTAACAATACCTGTAATCTTTACTTAATTACTAGATTTGTCTAACAACAGACCTAATTTGTTAGCCATTATTTCTTGTGACCAAGTTGCAATCGCTTCTCATATCCAAAATCATTAATGTCCTCTCGAATTTTCCTCGTTCGCATGGAATAACTAACAACGTTTCTTCATGTTTTGTCTTCCTAACCAGTAATTATTTCCAACTCTTCCTTGCTAATTTATTTATTTATTGTACTATTTAATAACTTCTGCATTATTTAATGATGAAAATGATTAAAGTATCAAACAAAAAACACTCATTTCTTGCTTTTATGACCGAACTACTTAGTTTTCAATATTTTAATATTTTTAAGATTAAACTGATTAAACTGAATATTCATATTATTAGGATCAAACCGATTTTTAGTTGCTTTACTCATAGTCAAAGTTTCTCATCAATTATATAAGCTCGAGATTCTGTGATATTACATAAAATTATTGTGCTGAAATTGCTGAACCAAAAATGATATTAAATAAACAAATTATATTACACAAATGATATCTTTGCAGTTTAGAATAAAACTGTCAGTTATTGTTAATTGTGGCATCAAAGTTTATTGCTTAGCTCCAATAGCATAAACTGAAGTTATAAGTGAAACAACACGCATAAAAGTCATACTGAAATGTAATTTTTATTCATTAAAATTTATACATCGAAAAATTTTTTGGCGGATATTTTTCATATTTTTGTAGTTATATTAATAGTTCCACAAGTTACTTCTTTTTCAACTGTAAAATATAATTTTGTTGCAGAGAAGTTGGTAGTTGTTTAGATTAGTTCAATACTTTGATTCAAAATTAATGAAGCAGGAAATCACCGAACAATTTTATGTGGAAATTTCGAAAAAATTGTAAATTGCAGCGTTGATTAGAAAAAATAAAAAAATAAAACAGATATCGCATAAGAAAACGAAATCACTTATTTTTGATAGTGTGGTTGTTTGAGAAATGATTATTTCTGGTGTTGTTTTAAAATTTTGAGAAGAGAATCCAATTGTTGTTTGCTTTTCAGAAGTCCTTCAACGACAGGCTTTTGTTTTTGGAGAAGTTGTTGAAGTGAAGGTTGCTTCTGCTGTAGTTGTTGGAGAAGTTCTTGTTGTTGTTGCATAAGTTGTTGGAATTGGACTTCTAGCTGGCGAAGTTGTTCAAGGAGATTAGGTATATGATGAGGTTTTAGAAGCATTTGTACAACAAGTTGTTGTTGTTGCTCCATAAGCTCCACAAGTTGTTGTTGTTGTTGGAGGAGCTGCTGAATAAGTGGTTGTTGTTGTTGGTAATGTTCAAGAAGTTGTTGTTGTAGTTGCAGAAGTTGTTGAAGAAGAGGTTGTTGTTTTTGAAGTAATTGCTGATAATAATGAGGCTGTTTTAGAAGCTGAATCAGTAGCACTTTATGTTGAAGCTGTTGAAAGAGTACTTGTCCCTGTTGTTGAAGTTTTGCAAATAGATCACCGTGCTGTTGAAGCAGTTGAAGATGTTGTTCTTGCTTCTGAATTTGATTTTTAAGATTATTTTGATCTTGATTTCGAGATTGCTCGTGATTTTGTTCCATTTGTTTTTGAAGGTTAAGCGCTTGTTGAACCAAAGTCGATGGCTGCAGTGTTTGTTTTGGTGCACGCAATTGCTGCTGCAAAAATTGTTGAAGAATAGGTTGTTGTTCTTCGAGTAATTTTTGCTGATCAGGTAGTTGCTGCAGTAGAGTTTGGGCAGTCTGTTGTCTCTGAAGAAGTTGCTGAAGAATAACTTCTTGTTGTTCTTGAAGTTGGTTCAGAAATGGTTGTTGTTTCTGAAGTTGTTTAAGGGTAAGTTGCTGGTTATGAAGAAGTTTTTGTTTATTTTCGCAGCCATGATTCTGTTCAAGTTGCTGACGAGCTTTCTCTTGCTGTTGAAGACGGTGCTGAAAGTGTGACTGGCTTTGTAGCTGTTCGAGTAGCTGTTGAAGTTGTTGGTGACGCTGGTGTTCATTCAGGAGTTCTTGGAGAAAAGACTGTTCTTTTTCTATTTGTTGGACAAGTAGTTGAGATTTTTTCTTATTTTCGGTTGACAATGCTGTCATTGTTGTTGAAGAAGAAACTGTTCTTGTTGTTATTGTCTGAGTTAATGTGAAAAAGACTGTTGTTACTAACGTAATTCCTGGAGTTGTTGCCTAAAAAAACGAAACTAGAAAATAGAAATCACAAAATTTGTGAAAGTGGAAATGTTCATTTAAAGAAGCTCACAAAAAGGCATCTTGATTTCCTACGGGACGTGAAACCAGAGCCTATTTCAGTGGAAACAGATTGTTTTACAAAAAATTGGAACAAATTTAATACCTTTGTGCTGGATGAAAAAGCAATGATAAGAAAGAAAATGATTCCTTTCTTCATTTTCACCATCTCGATTAATCAAATTTGAACTAAAGAAAAGTAATTGACTGCGAATTAAAACATTAAATGCTGCGTTTTTAAAGTTTTCAATTGACTATAGAATTTTAAGCACTAATTAACAATCATTCAAAGTGTGCTATTTGGATTAGCCAAATACTAAGCAATTTATGATTCGAGAAATCTCGGTCAAATTCTTTTCTTACTTTCCATGGTAGTGAAATCCTCCCTCCAGAATCGCATAATATTTCTAAGAGGGTTTCATTCCACAAAGGAACCTTCTCCTTATGTAACTTTGAGAAACTATGAAAAAGCATTAAGTTTTTTAATTTTTGTTCATAGGAAAGCACTGGAATTATTGCCACACTGAATAATTTGAGTTGTGCTGCAAAATTTAAAGACATTTATATGCTATTTGTTTCATTCTGCTTTTGCAGAATTTTCCAGTTGAAATTAGTTGAATTGAATTGAAAGCATTGTGTTCCAAAATTGCATTTCTCATCCAAAACTTGGGGACAACATGCATTGCTTTCAGAATATTCACCATATTATTGTTCTTTCTATTTAAATGAATGAATTTTGTTGCAATAAAATAAATTAAAGGAATGGTTTGATATAAAATGATCAAAAGATAAAAGTGTTTTACTTTTGTGAAAAAAATTAGCATCATAAATCCAGAAGTTCCGAAAATTGAAACGAAAAATTAGCACCATAGTTCGATATAGAATGATCACACATAACTGTTTCAACGAATATTCATCTCAACAAACCTGATTAATCGACTAAATAAAACTTCAAGAAACAGAAAATGTTGGAAATTGAGTACCTCATTTCGTACCTAAAAACTAAAAATGCTATGCGATTAAAGTGGGTACTGGTAATAAGGAAATCTCACATGCGAAATTAACTTTACTTAAATATATGAACGACAAAAGTATTACATTTAGAGAGAATATAGAGAATATTATTTTAATGACAAAAGTAAAAGAGTGATTATTGGTGATCGCTTGAAATATTATGGATACTTTGATCTCATCAAATACTTCTGAAAAATTCCTTTGTTCTACTTATTGTGAAATCATTCATAGGCTGAATAAACATTCATGTATATCGACTGAACAAACATTCGACGAGGATTTTGATGCTTTGCATGTTTTGCTATTTTCTAACTTTTATATCAATATTTTTATCTATAATATTTAAATTTTAATTAAGTTTTAATTAAAGCTATAAGGCAATTATTTAAACGTATTCTTATTTACCTAAAATTTTTCCTTAGTATTTATATTTCTGTGCCATGGCATATTAGTGGCAAAATAGTCTATGGAATCCATTTATTATCTACTTTTCGTTTTTTCTTTTTACTTTTTTTTTTTGTACACTACTAATATAATTCTTGTTTACAACTCAATTCTTGTTTACAACTTTTTTTCTTTTTATCACTGACCTTTATTCCTGGAAAAATTCTTTTTTCCATGCCATTTTACATTTGTTTATTATATTTGTCATTTTGCAAAATCTCTTTTTTATGTTTTTTATAAAGCTCACTTATTTCATGTTTCTTGTTGATTAAATTTTAATTCATTTTAAAACATGTCTCTTCGCTGATGTTCAATTTTTTCTCATGACCCATGTTTCTTATTACTTCTTTCCAAGTGTGACATTTTTATATAACCAAATTTCAAAAAAAAAAAAAAAAACCAAAATTGAACAACGACACTATAACTGCGTACTCCAAAGCACGATTAATGTTAACAAACATAAAATTAGTAAAAATATTATTGATCCTTGCTTCCATTTCCAATTATTTGCAACTACTTGTTGCTACTTGTAAATATTTGTAGTTGGAACCACTTGCAACCACAGTAAAAATTTACAGCACCTGCTTATTTACCTTTCCGTATCATTTGTTTTCCTTTCTTTTGGAACCACCTGTTCCTACAACCACTTGTAACCATCTGCTACCGTAACCACTTTTTACTTTAACCACTTGCAACCGCTTTCTACGACCAACTTACGACGACACATCTTTAGTTATAGTATAAACCTTTGAAAGCATTCAGTACTTCTCTCTGTCTTGTCATCAATTCTTCGATTCCAATAATCTCTAGTTTACACTTTTCTTTTTATTAGTTCACTGAGTTATCATGATTCTCTTCATTCTCCCAATCTTTCTTTCGGACTTCGTTATTTTACTGATTGCCATTTTTATCTTGAAAATTCATTCACAGCTTCTTGTCATTGACAGTTGGCCAAAAATATGAAAGGTATAATTATGGTGAAAAGCAGGAAAGGATGCCTTCAATAATAACAACTGATAAAATCATTAATGTTCAAAAATCTCGAAATGAAAGTAAAACTATAAAATGTGCAAAAAAGTTACACAATACAATGAGTCATTCAAAGTAATCATCGATTTTAATTACTACAAAAGTACAATAATTCCACTTATCAATTCTTTATAATAATTATGAGTTTATTTCCATATGAAATCATTTCTCTGCCTAATCCATTTTATCTGTTCATCAAATTTTTACTTTTTAACTATATTTGTAGTTAATTAGAATTAAAATAACTGATAAAATCTTCACTGTCAAGTCATTTATTTTTGCCAATGAAAATTGCTTAAACTTTTTACACTTTTGCTCCATCGGCGATTTAATTTTGTTTATATCTCCATCTGATTTTTTATTTTGGTCATATTTCGTATAATTAAATTTTTTCATTTAAAAGAAAAAAAAAAGGTGAAAATTGGTAAATTGGAAATAAACGACAACTGATAACAGAATTTAGCAAAGAATAGTCAATGAAAAGTAAACAAATGTCATGCATCGTTATCACTAATTAATTAATTTAAATCAATCCCCATCAAATAATGACTCGGAAACTTATTATTCTTCAGTGCAAAAAGTTACTTTCATTTGATGGTAACTAATTTGAATCACATTCGAAAAGCAAAATGGAATTCACGCAAACTATAAATAATAACGAAATGGTTGTTTGTTGGATTTATACAAAAATTTTTCATTAGGAAATTTTTAATTATAATCATTTTTCATTTAAACAAACTGAAGAAAACCAAATGATTTATCTGCCGTTTTTTTTTTTTTTTATCACTGACCTTTATTCCTGAAAAAATTCTTTTTTCCATGCCATTTTACATTTGTTTATTATATTTGTCATTTTGCAAAATCTCTTTTTTATGTTTTTTATAAAGCTCACTTATTTCATGTTTCTTGTTGATTAAATTTTAATTAATGGAAGTTTTTTTTCTAAATATTACTTCTTCTCACTTTTAAATCCTTTCTTTTTTAATTTTTTTTTTTTCAATAAAAGATTAAAATACTGAAAAGAAGTAATATTTAGAAAAAGCTTCCATGAATTAGGCTCAACAAGAAATAAAAAAAAGAGAGAGGTTTCATAAAACGATAAATGTAATAAGCAAATGTAAAATCGCGTGATAACAGGTTTTTTTTTCAGCAAAAAAATTGCGAAAATGAAGTCAGTGATAAAAAGAATGAAAAGCTGAATTGCTAAACAAGAGAAATATTATCAGTATTCTGTACAAAAACAAAAAAAGAGTAAATTTAACAGAAAATTAGAAATATTATGAATTCTTTTAATTTTATTAAAAGAAATTATAAATTGCGACGTGTTGACATGTTGATTTAGAAGAAATGAAAACAGAATCAGATTTCCCAGAAAAAAAGAAATCATTTATTGTTGATGCTTGGTTGTTTGAGATTATCCATGGTGCTGGAGCATATAATCTAATTGTTGTTTTAAGGTTTGGAGAAGACTTTGCTTTCTGGTACCTTGAATTTAAAAAATATTGACAAGATGCAAAGTTAAATATTATTATAAATATTAATTTCATTTAAGTAATGTAAAATAAATGCAGAATTTCACATATGTGACATAATATTCTCTCGAACAGTTCATTCTCGATAATCGTTACACAAAATCACTGTTATATATGTAATCATAATATGTATCACTATATATATACATGATCATCGTATCCAGAATTAGCAATTTATCCGATTTTTTTTTAATATGTCTCGAAACTATTTTTAGAAAATCCTCTTTTGTCAATGATGGCGACACGAGGAAATGATGTTTTCCTGATAGCTAAACTGGTAATCTTAGATGTGATATCAGAATAATCATAAATCTATCTGCGGTACAGCAAAGCTTATCTGCATTTAATAAAGATTAGATGAAATAATCGAAATTATTATTAGAAAAATTGAGGAAGTACATCTGAGGGAGAGGAGAGAGTGTAGAACTTCCGAAGTGCGATCGAGAAAAACTACCTTCATTCCTCTATTTAACTTGTAGAATAGGAGTGGTTTATAACAAAGCACATGATTACCGTATGTAAAGAGCTTCCGTTCCGGATAATCTTTACTCTCTCATTACATCAATTACTCATAAGACTGAATGTCAAAATAGCAGACTCTTACAATTTTTAGATGTTAAAAGTTAAGTCTAAGTTTGGCTGTTTGGTTGGAAATTTTTAGTATTAAAATTGGGAGCAATTTTCAACATCTTTGTGAATACAGTAGAATTCCAAACAATTTAGATGAGTTTTAGATAAAGAATTTCTTAACTGAAACATTTATCTAAGAATTATTCAAATAAGACAATCTTTAGTCTTATGAATTCACTACAAATTTATTTCGACATATTCGATTCAAATTTATTTCGTTATTCAATGCATTTCAGAACTCTCTAGAGCCTTCTGAGGTTAGAATTCATATATTACTGACTCATCATCTGTTCTTGGTGTTCCGAAATTTCTATGAAGCTTGCAGTATGTAAGGTTGCTTTCTTGCAAGACGGGTAGGTGAGCAAAGAGTTCAGAGTACCTGGACTTCTAGGTCCTTTGAATTCCTTTGATGAGCACTCTAGGCATTTTAAGGTGAACTGAAGGATGGTATTTTTAATTTGCAAGTTTGGGCCATAGCAGCGAAATATTGAGGTAGTAGGTCGGTCTGTTAGATGAAAAACTGTAAGAGGTTAGATGAATTTTATCTGCCCGGATCCGAAGTTGGCTGCCCGAGGTTAGTCCGTTCTACTCATCGACACACTTCGACTTTCGATTCTTTAGTTGAAGACTATCTGGCATGGAGTGAAAGGTACGTAAGTTCCTTTTGCTAGCATACACAAGGAGGTGTCCAATGAGGATATATATATTTGATAATTTTTTCCTTTGCAACAATATTTAAAACAATACAAAACAAAAATATTGGATAATTTTATTCATATTAAATTGTGAATAGTAGCATAGCAGCAATTTTTAATTGACAATTATCAAATTACCATTTTGATTTGCATACAAGAAAACATTCTTCAGCAGCACTGTTATGATATTTCCGCATTTCATCCAATATTTTGATAAGCTCTATGCGATGCTTTTCTTTTTTAGATTGAATTGTACCTAAAGCTTCAAAAACCTGCAACAATTTAAAGTTATTATTTAATAGTAATTTCCATGAGATTATTTTAAATGATAGTAAAATAACTAAATTTGAAATTTGTTACGCATGAAAGGAAGGGTTATTAATATGTCATCCATTTGATCTAATAATATTTAAATAATAGTAATAATCATACTCCTTATACTTTGCCTTAATTAAATTTCAATTTAAATGTGAAATATTTGTTTATTTAATTTTATTTCAATAAAAATATTTAAATTCCATTTCTCTAACCTCATCTGATTGTTCCTTAAATTTTGCAATTGCTTTATTGCAACTTTCTTTTTTTTGTTCCGTTGGATTATTCGCATATTCATGTTTTGCAAAATCCATTTCTTGTCGACGTTTGATGAGTTCTTGACGCTGATTATTTAATACTAAGATCATTATAATTTAATAATTACTATTTACGCAAAATATTTTAACAATTTTTTTTCTTCCTTATCAATTATTATTATTATTTTTTGCTTAGGTATCAATAATATAACATTCATTTAATAATTAGCAACTATTTTTCTCTACACAAATTATTCACTAAATAATTATTAATCATTTATGTCGTTCAATTTTTCATTGATATTTTTTTGTTTAACCTAACCGTATTTCTTGGTTTAAAATTTTTGCTTAATTAATTATTCTCATCCATTTATTGTTTTCAAATAATTTTCATTTATTTGCCCTATGTATTTGTTGTTAACATCCAAAAATTATTTATTACTTATGCAATAACTTTAATTATTCTATTTCAACATAACTAATATGACAAATAACTTATTACAGATGACTTTAATGCTAATAATTCCATCATTTGTTACTCAACCCTTTCTTTATTGTTATAATATAATGTCATATTAGAATAATTATAAATCAATGATTGATATAGTAATTAAAAATCAATTATTGGTAATGAATAATAATCTTTATTATTATTCATCATCATTCATCAATAATATTCACTATTAATCGTGATTTCATTTTTCAGTAGAATATTATGATAAATGATTATAATTAGCATATAATTATTAAACTTATAATTAGCAAATATAAGAAACGCATATCTTACACACATAATCAACATTAATAAATGTTCGAATAAAATGAATAGCTCGACGTCCTCGTTTGCAGTAAGATCGACGTAACTCGGCTAATTTTATGCATGCACGAATGCATGCCTGAAATTATAATTAAACTTGCAAAAGTTCAAAACAAATGCCAAAAATTGTAGAAAAAAGCAAAATGCAAAATAGATTATTATTATTATTATTATTGAAATATCTTTTTCTCTCTGTTCTAATTGAAGAACTACTAACGAGCAGTAAATAGCATTAAGTTTAAAATTAAAGCTCAATTAGTTATGAACACTTATGCTATATTGATTTCCTTTTTATCGTATTTTAAAATTTTCTTTGCTGAATTTATAAATTATTTTTTTGTAACTATACGAAAAATATTTTTGATTTTCACTAAATTATTAAGTTATCAAAAGTGCATCTAGCATATGTAATGATAAATAAACTTTAGTGGCATAATTAAGTTTAAAATTTTTGACATATCTAATAATTAATAATGGTAATTATAATTATATATGATTCTGTTAATTATTTTAGATTATAGAAACCTCAAGTGCTGGAATATGAGCTGAAAAATTTTCTCTCATTGCTTCTAATGAAACGCTTAATAATTCCGTAGGATCTTGATTTAATGGACATTCAAATTCCATTTTTGATTCTGCTTCAGGTACTAATTTCGGATTTTGTTGCAACACATGCATAATGCTTTCTGCTAATTTGCATAACATTTCCTTAATTAATAATACTGAAGGCAATATGTTAGCCTAAATCTGCGTTTTTCTTTTTTTTTTTTTTTTTTCTGTTTTTTAACGAAAATATATTTTCGAATTTAGCTAAGCTAAAATGATTATGTAGATATTGATTAATTATGATAAGAATTAATTTTTATATGGATAAATGGAAAAACCATTCAAAATTGCTTAAATTAGCATACACTTATCTAATATTAAGTTACTAAGCAAAATAAAAAAAAATATTTTCAAATTTTTTGGAAAAAAAATGAAAAGTTCGATGAGCATTCTTTGAATTAGTCATTCGTAATTGATACATTATGGTAATTAGTAAGTACATCATTTTATGTTATATGAATCAGATAAAGTTATTGCTGAAAGTTTTTTTACCTTATAAGTGTCTGCATCTTTCACTTGATTCAAATAATCCGGATTAAGCTCAGAAGTCTTAATAGTACCAACTTTTTCGCCTAATTTCATAAATAGCTTCCGGAATGCACCTCGTCCTTCTGGTTCCGTTTGTGGTGAAGCCATTTCCATTGGTTCTTGAATTTTATTTGTATCCTTATCTGATTGTTTCTTATTTTGGTCATATTTCTTAGTTTCGCTAAAATTAAATTTTTCATTCAAAAAAAAAAAATAAATAAATAAATAAAAATTGATAAATTACTAATTTATAAACGATATCAAAATTGGAATTTATCAAAGAATATTTAACAAAAATTTAACGAAAATCATGCAACGTTTATCATAGATTAATTAATTTGAATCAATTTACACCAAATAATGACTCGGAAACCATATCATTCTTCATTTAATTTTAGTAAAAAAGTTACTTCCATTTGATAAAAATTCAAATCATTTGATAATTCAAATCAATTATCATTGACCTTCTTTTTGCTGCCATTCCGAAAGCAACCGAATCGTTTGATGAATTTACGCAAAGTATAAATAATGATAATAACGGTTGTTTAGTTGTATTTATAGTAAAAATTATTTTAACCAAAAAAAAAATTTTTATAAAAAATTTTTAAATGGAATCATTTTTCATTTAAACAAACAAAACGGTTTATCTAGTGTTTTTATTACATTCTGATCAACTAATCATTAATTTCTGTTTACTTTATCATTAAAGCTTAAGCAATCACCAACTAATCAGTGTCACAAATAATTCCTTAGAATTTCTCTTAAAAAGTAGCCTGGATAATGAGATAAATGTTAGGTGTTAAGAGATAAACCGCATGAGCATTAAAGCAATTTTAATAAAAAGAAGAAATAAGAGTTTGTATTTAGTATGCTGAAATATGTTAATTCGAATTTCAAATACTTATTTCGACTTTATAAACTTTAGTTCAACAAATGGCTTAATGGATTGGTTTAACAAATTATATGAAAGTTACAATAATGAACCGAAAAGATTGTTTCGAGTAGCAGTACACTGAGGAAAATTTTATTTATTTTATCTACTGATCAAAATTGATGGCAAAATTTTGGAATTTTCTTAAGCCCTTTGCCCACTTCATTTTTAAATCATTAGTGATCCAAATCACAATTTAATAAATTCCAACAATATTATCAAATATTCAAGTCCTTGTAAATTATTAGTATTTTTGCAAATATCTAATTTAATAATCAGGAAAAAAAAACTGTAGTGATGTTAGCATTTAATTCACACTGCACTTTCATTCAAAATTAGCATCCACCATCAACAATCGAACATAACCGATTACTATTGTTGAAATGCTCAGACTGGTAAGCAACTTGTATAATTAGTTTTTTTTTTTTTTGGTAATGTCTTTCTTCAGAGAAAAGAAAGAAGCAAAAGTTTTGAATAAAGACAAAAAGCTGTTTTTTTAATATCAGCAAAGTTTCTATTATACAATCAGTATGCTTATTTTAATTTTACAAAATAAGAAAACAACCCATTCTTTTAATTTATTTTATTGTGACAAATTCATTCATTTAAATAGAAAGAACAATAATATGGTGAATTTTCTGAAAGCAATGCATGTTGTCCCCAAGTTTTGGAGAGAAATACAATTTCGGAACACAATGCTTTCAATTCAATTCAATTCAACCCATTTCAACTGGAAAATTCTGTAGAAGCAGAATGAAACAAGTAACACATAAATGTCTTTAAATTTTGCAGCACAACTCAAATTATTCAGTGTGGCAACAATTCCAGGGCTTTCCTATGGGCAAAAATTAGAAAACTTAATGCTTCTTCAAAGGTTGCATAAGGAGAAGGTTCTTTTGTAGAATGAAACCCTTTTAGAAATATTATGCGATTCTGGAGGGAGGATTTCACTACCATGGAAAGTAAGAAAAGAATTTGACCGAGATTTCTCGAATCATAAATTGCCTGGTGCTTGGCTAATCCAAGTAGTATACTAGTATTGTTGATTTGAATGATTGTTAATTAGTGCTTAAAATTCTATACTCAATTAAAAACTTTAAAAATGCAAGCATTTACTATTTTGATTCGCAGTCAATTACTTTCTTTTAGTTCAAATTTGATTAATCGAGATGGTGAAAATGAAGAAAGGAATCATTTTCCTTCTTATCATTGCTTTTTCATCTTGTACAAAGGTATTAAATTTGTTTCAATTTTTTGAAAAACAATCTGAAATAGGCTCTGGTTTCACGTTCCGTAGGAAATCAAACTGCCTTTTTGTGAGCTTCTTTAAATGAGCATTTCCACTTTCACAAATTTTGTGATTTCTATTTTCCAGTTTCGTTTTTTTAGGCAACAACTCCGGGAATTACGGTAGTAACAACAGTCTTTTTCACATTAACTCAGACAATAACAACAAGAACAGTTTCTTCTTCAGCAGTAACGACTGCACTGCCCATCCAACATAGCAAAAAATCTCTTCCTCAACTACTTCTCATACAACAGCAACTTGTCCAACAGACAGAAAACGAGCAATCTTTTCTCTACCTTCTGGAACAACAAGATCCTGTGCCTCACCAACTTCAACAACAACAACAACTTCAAGAACTACAACAAAAGCAGCCGCACCTTCAGCATCTTCTCCAACAACAACAACAACTTCTTCAGCAACTTATACAACACCAACATAAGCATAACTGTAAACAACAAATACAAAGTCTTCTTCAACAACAGCATAGTATCCTTCAACAACTTCAGCATCATCAACCATTTCTGAATCAACTTCAGCACCAACAACGTGTCATTCTTCAGCAACTTCTTCAGCGACAAAAAATTGTCCAATATCTACTGCATCAATTGCCTCATCAACAACAATTATTTCAAAAACAACAACCTATTCTTCAACAATTTTTCCAGCAACAATTGCTTTCTGTCCAGCAAATGCTTACTGTTCAACAACAAATGCAACAAAATCTCCAGCAACTTGAACATCATAATCATCATGATCATCAAATTCAACAGCAACAACAACTTATTCAACTGCTTCAACAACACCAAACTGTATTAAAGCAACTTCAACAACAGAAACAATTACTTCTTCAGCAGCTTCAACATCAAGTGCAAATACTTCAGCGACTGCAACAGCAACAACCTTTTGATCAGAAACTTCAAAAACAACAATCTCTTCTTCAACAACTTCTACAGCTACAACAGCTCCTTCTTCAGCAATTCCAACAACAACAACCACTTATTCAGCAGCTCCTCCAACAACAACAACTTCTTGTGCAGCTTGTACAACAACAACAGCAACTGCTTCTACAAATGCTCCAGCAACCTCAGCAAATACCTAATCTCCTTCAACAACTTCTCCAGCTACAAGTGCAATTCCAACAACTTATGCAGCAACAACAACAACTTCTTCAACAACTCCTGCAAAAGCAACCTTCACTTCAGCAACTTCTTCAACGACAACAGCCTGTCGTTGGAGAACTTCTGAAAAGCAAACAAAGTCTTCTCCAAAAGTTACAACAGCAATTGCATTATTTCCTTCAATTCCAGAAATAATCATTTCTCAAACAACTAAGCATCAACAATAAATGATTCTTTTTCTTTTTTTCGTGAGATATCTGATTTCTATATTTTCATTTTCTCCAAACTCACCATGTCAACACACACAACATCACTTACAATTTCTTTGTCGAAATTTCAACAAGAACTTTTTCAATAATTTTTTTTTTTCAGTAATTCCCAGCCAAAACAGTATCTACTTGATCTAAACAATCATTAACTTTAGAAATAATATTGCACAGTGGAAACAAACCTGTGGAACTACTATTATCTGAGCAAAAAATTTTCCGATATGTAAATTTTGATGAATACTAATCAATTTTGCTTCATGGAAATTATGTTATTTTAACTATTATTTTTCCGTTTTAATGTTCAATACCATATCATAGATATCTATTATAGCGTTGAATTATTCGCTGATAACGTATTCGATAGAGATAAGACATTAAACAAAACAATAAAACATGAAAATAAGAGAATAATAAAGCATTTACGAAGTAATTGTAATTAGACAGCACTAACACGGAAATATAGTGACGTCTAATTCAAGGTAAAGTACTTCAAGGTAAAGCAGAAGAAAGCTCAATAGACTGTGTTGCAAAAAGGTCAATTAATTTATTATATATACTCAACTTTTTGCTGACTTTCGTAGTTATCCATATTATCAGTTCCTGAAATGTTGGTGCTTAGACTGTCACAGATGTCCAAGTTATTACTTCCCAGAAGTTAGTGTTGTTACCTTTTCCTTTTCTTCACTTTTATTACTTTATTAATACATATTCCCACTTTGTAATAATTAATGATATTATTGAAATGTTAAAATCAACTCGGAAGCAATGCATTCTTTTTGCCATTCTGATATTTTGCTGTCATTTATGAAATCAGAAACAATTTATAGCGATAATTTCACGCCCACTTTAAAATCTGCAAATATTTCACTTTTTAAACTATTAAACTATTTTCAAAGTGATACTAAATCGTTTCTCATATTTGAATTTTCAGTCTTTTGGACTTTAAAAAGAAATTAATTTGTATGCAAAGTTTAATCAAAAACCTTCAGTGATATCAAATTCATCGATATAATCCATCAACTGATCTATTTTGCTATCCATTATCTAATTAAATTTTCCATTGCAAAATTAGGCAATATCCCATGCAACGATAGAAATAATTGTATATTCTAAGAATGAAAGAAATTTTGCTAATGCACAATTTATTATTGATTGCAGTGATATTAATAATCAAAATAAATGATAGTTTTTACTGATAAGATAAGTTATCTGAATTGCATTTCGACTTAGTTTAGTATACGACATTGCAATAAGACTAACACTTGTTTTTAGGTATTTTTCCTGCAATCTAAGAGTATTATTTGAAATTGAACCAAAATATTTCATCCTGTCTCTATCGATTTCTGAAGCAACTAAAGGCAGTAATAAGAAATTAATTATGGACAGTATGATCGATCTCATTTTTTGATCTGAAATATTCATTGGTTAGCAGGTCATTCCTACTTGTTAATAATTAGTTTGTTCAAATATTTCCAGTGATGAATTATGAATGCTTCATTCTTAAATAGAATTACGCAAATTTTTTGAATTATTTTCAGAATAAAAGTTATGAAAAGAACAATAATAAATGACAGAGAGCATAAAATACTGAGAAAGACAAAAAAAAGTTACCAATATAAGGAGAAAACGAATCTTATCAGCAATGCTTGTGCTTATCACAAATTTTTTTAATGTATGTGACCAAAACATCACTGCTTGCCAAAAGATTAAAGGACAAATCGATTGCTTCAATTATAGAATTGAACTGTCACAGTTCTTTTGGGACATCAGTTTTGCAATCATTAAAGATTTTTAGTTTCGAAAACTGAAAATATTCAGTTCATTAGTTTTCAGTGATTGCCAAAATCCCTGAGACTTTCAGCAACCGGATTCGGTATTATTTACGTTGCTATCTTTATCACTGCTATGTGATATATCCATAGCAATTTCTTTTAATCTTCCAACGTTTCTCCTTCATTTTAAAGTGCTAATTTCTGCAAGATGGCACATTTAGTCCTTCATTTTGAGTAATTAGAATTTTAAAATTTGGCATTTAGGCAAATGAATGGAAATATTTACAAAATTGTCTTTCAAATATAATAGAAAGTATTATCATTTGAAAGTTACATTAGAGATGGAGAAAATTCGAACAGTTCCGTTAAAAGAGTATCTTCAGGACGTGAATAAATCATGAATAGATTTTTCACACTGCAACGAGTTAATTCTGACGATAGCAGATTTACAGAGTTCATAATATTCAGCCCAGGACTTTGGTCACTCGAGAATGACATAGTCTTGTCCGAATGACCAAGCAAAGAGCGACGAGAAGTATTGCTTTTTCATATGGAGGAGTGAAGAGTACAAAGGGGTTAGATCTCTAACCAAAGCTCATCTCCGGTTGGCTAATCGCAGTCAACGAAAGCTTTCTGCTACAGTCGAATTAGAATAAAGAAACAAAGGCTTCAAAATTGTGTTCAAATTAACTCATTCACATTGAAATATCCGAACCAATCTTACACTGAGGGTATGAATAACCCGAGTGTTCTGGGTTTAATTGCCCACGAAATGCTACGACTTAACATTGACATTGTCGTCCTTAGTGAAATCTGTCTCTCAAAGAAAATCATGCCAGCTGAACACTCTTCTGATCAGGTAAACCAAGAATTGAACTTTCCCAGCTAGAACTGGTTTCATGATTATACCTCTCTAAATTTGTTAATGTGACAGGTGATTCAACTATTGTCCTTTCAACATATGCTCATCTAAAGAGTTCCTATAGGGAAAGAACTAAGGTCTGGGATGAATACAAGGTAAACATAATGTTGAAAACTACAATGACAACAAGCGTCTCCTGTAGGAGTTTAACACAGAGTAGCACACGATGATTCTTCACATAAATCCGGTCCGGAAATAACTGGATGCATTCTCGGCCTAAGCACCGGTACTGAATGACGTCTGGTGACCTCTGTAACGGTTTTTATATCTAATCATCAATATTTTTGGTTTTAAATTTCACCAAAAATAGATGCAGATGCAAAACAACTATAATTAATGAAAAGATATTGCAAAAGAGAAAATAAAAATAATTTAATTCATAAATAACAAAAAAAAATGGAGTTGACTAAAAAGCGCGTAGAAGCAAAAAAGACCAAAAATGTCACACATTGAACAGAAATAATAAAAAAAAAAACGCGAGCTATGAGGAAAGATTGGATATTAGCAAGGCGACATGTTTTAAAATAAATTAAAAAAGATTGAAAAAGTGAAATGAAGTAATATTTAGAAAAAAACTTCCACAAATCAAAATTTAATCAACAAGAAGCATAAAGTAAGTGAGCTTTATAAAAACTATAAAAAAGATATTTTGCAAAATGACAAATATAATAAACAAATGTAAAATGGCATGAAAAAAAAATTTTTTTTTTCGAGGAATAAAGTTCAATGATAAAAAGAAACTTAGCAGTACAAAAAAAAAAAGAGTGAAAAGAAAAAACGAAAAGTAGATAATAAAATTGGAACGGATTTCGTAGACTATTTTGCTACTAATAGACCATGGCATATGGATATAAACAGTAAGAAAAAGTATTTCATAGTTCTCAATATGAATGTTTAAAGTAATGATAGCTTTTCTTGGGTCATTCTATTAACTTTAAGTTGCCCAGGATAAGTTTGTCGAATTCTCAATTAGAACCTATTTAAGCAACTAGCATAATAATCAAGACGTCCAATCATTTCCTTTGATGATCCGTAGTTTGACTTATTATTTTCGTGGATAAGCTCATTCCCGTTGGGTTAGATAAATTCATTTATTTCATTGAAAAGTTTTTGAATCTTTGACTTTGGTATTTCGGCTCCTTACAACAAAGTGTCAGACATACCTCAGTCACTTCGGACTGCAATAATTTTTTTGTGAAATTTGGGCTTCTGACTTTCTAACTTTTGTAGCTTACATTGGTTCATCAGATTTAAACGAATAGGTTTAAAGAAGTAATCAGCACCAATAAGATAGTCAACTGTTTTCAATAACTCGCTGAATCTCTCAATTGATTCTCAATTGATGTCTGAACCATTCATTATTGCGTAGGTAATAGATGGATGTTAGGATTATTACATAGTATCAAATTATATCTTAAAAGATTAAAGACTGACTGTAGACTGTGTGGTTCGAACAGATCTTTAGATGATAGATTATTGATCGTAATGACATTCTTAGAGTATTCCATCAATGCATTAGGATTCATTGAAGTTTAAAAGTGTTTGGTATTATTCATGGCACAAATTAGAATGAACAATTGTTGGTCATTAGCATGTACACTTCTATCTTATAGAATTAAACTAATTGTTTGAAATCGCTTTTGTTTTTCCTTTAGTTTTTATTTGCCATTTAAGTTACGCAGAGTTACTGAAGATGAATATGAATACTAGATATATGCGATTTTTATATCTTTAAAAGAAATTACTTCCAACTATTCCTTACTATTTTATTAAATTGTTGTGCTATTTTAACTCTGTTGCAGAAAAAAGCAACTTTTGCATTATTTAATGATGAAAATGATTAAAGTATTAAACAAAAAACACTCCTTTCTTGCTTTTATGACCGAACTACTTACTTTTCAATATTTTCATATTTTTAAGATTAAACTGAATATTCATATTATTAGGATCAAACCGATTTTTAGTTGGTTTACTCATAGTCAAAGTTTCTTATCAATTATATCAGCTCGAGATACTGTGATATTACATAAAATTATTGTGCTGAAATTGCTGAACCAAAAATGATATTAAATAAACAAATTATATTACACAAATGATATCTTTGCAGTTGTAGAATAAAACTGTCAGTTATTGTTAATTGTCACATCAAAGTTTATTGCTGCATAAATTGAAGTTATAAGTAAAACAACATACATAAATGTTTTTATAAATTAAATAGTAAAAAAAGTTTTA